GGCCAATCCACCTGTAAGAACATTCTCTCATATTCCTTTATTTATGATAGTTCTATTGAGATTTTTTTAAACCATATAGAATTCCCTAGAATATTATTAGAATGAGTAACTAGGGTTTACTTCTTTGTTTTGGGGTCTGTCATCTACCTGGTTGCATCAAAAATAGTTCTCTTTTGGAAAAGCTCAAAATCTTAACTTAGAACATATATTCAGTGATATTAACAGTCACTGATAAGATGTGACTTGCTCTTTTTATTTTATTTTTTTTAGCTGTATGGACCTTTATTTTATTCATTCATTTATATGTGGTGCTGAGAATCGAACCCAGTGCTTCACACATGCTAGGCAAGTGCTCTACCACTGAGCCACAGAATCAGCCCCTGTGACTTGATCTTTTTTTAAATAGTTTTAGTTATGGTGGACACAATACCTTTATTTTATTTAATGTGGTGCAAAGGATCAAACCCAGTGCCTCACACATATTAGGCAAGTGCTCTATCACTGAGCTACAACCCCAGCCTGTGACTTAAACTTTTATAACATTTTTCTTTCTCTCTGGAAAAATAAAAATAAAAGGAGCTAGAAGTGTAGCTCAGTAGTGGAGCATCCCTGGGTTTTATCCCCAATAACACACATAGAGACAAAATAACAACAACAACACTGTTTGGGTCAATGTCATGGAGCTTTTCCCTGTCTTCTTCTAGTAGTTTTATAGTTTTAGGTCTTACATTTGTCTTATCCATTTTGAAAATGGAGTTGATTTTTGTATATGATGTGAGAAGAGGCTCTAATTTCATTCTACAAGTGGATATTCAGTTTCAACAAGTTCATGTCAGAATTGACTGGTTTTCCCTTGGGGTCAGACACAGTGGAATACATCTGTAATCCTAGCTACTCAAGAGCCTGAAGCAGGACAATTGCAAGTTCAAGGCCAACCTGTGTAATTTAACAATAGCCTGTATTGAAAATTAAACTAAGGACTGGGAATGCAGTCAGTGGTAGAGCACTTGCCTACCATGCACAATACCATAAATTCAATCCCTAGTACTGCTAAGAAGAAAAGAAAGAGAAGAACTGATTTGCTTCAGTAATTTTAATTTCACACTTTTTTTTTTCTTTTGTGTTACTCTCTGGGGATTAAACCACTGAGGGGCATGCTACCACTGAGATATATCCCCAGTCCTATTTTTTTTAATTCTGAGACAAGGGCTCCCTAAATTGCTGAGGCTGACTTGGAGCTGACTTGGGACTCTCCTGCCTCAGCCTCCCAAGTCACTGGGATTACGGGTAGGAGCTACTACAGCAGTTCAAATGCTTTTTTTTTTTTTTCTTTTTTTCTTTTTAAGGATACATTTGTTTATTTTTTTTTTTAAGAGAGAGGAGAGAGAGAGAGAATTTTTAATATTTATTTTTTAGTTCTCGGCGGCGGACACAACATCTTTGTTGGTATGTGGTGCTGAGGATCGAACCCGGGCCGCACACATGCCAGGCGAGTGTGCTACTGCTTGAGCCACATCCCCAGCCCTCAAATGCTTTTTAATACTTCCTTTTCTATTCAATTAGTTTAAGACCTCATATATAAATAAATAATCCTTTTTCATACTTTTTGTTTAATAATATTTCTGAAATGTGACACATACTGTTGAAAACACTTGCTCTTATATCTAAATCACATTTGCCTGGTTGGGGATGTAGCTCAGTGATAGAGCAATTGCCCAGCATTTGCAAGGTCCTGGGTTTGAACTTAGCACTGCAAAAAATAAGTAAATAAATCATATTTGCCTAAAATCAATCAGAAATTTTATATGATAAAACTTTCAAAGCAGGAAACCATCTTTCATGGCAATGAACTTCTTACAAGTCCAAACTGCATCTTCTATTTTCTTTAAATCAAAAGTAATTCAGCACGTTTGTATGCCATCTAGGTTGTATATTCCTTTTGGTTCAAGAAGTTAGAAATTGGGGCTGGGGGGCTGGGGATGTGGCTCAAGCGGTAGCGCGCTCGCCTAGCATGCGTGCGGCCCGGGTTCGATCCTCAGCAGCACCACATACCAACAAAGATGTTGTGTCCGCCGAGAACTAAGAAAGAATAAATAAATGTTAAAAAAAAAAATTCTCTCTCTCTCTCTGTCCCC